TTATAATAACTCATTAAAAAGATATTAACAATACGGTTAGTGTATAATTAACTAAACATGAGTACATTTTCAAGTACCAGTTTACCATGATACAGTTTTACAGTATTACATCTCCGTATTCAATAACAGCTGGTGAAGCCAGACACACTCAGTTTTACAGTTTATACAAAAAGGATACAATAACAGAACACCAGTTTACAAACAGAACAGTTTTATGTGATTAAAACTACTTTTCATATACAACATAAAATATAGCATTTTCTGGAACAGTTTACATATTCAAGAAACAGAAAACATACTTTCAAACATAAATACTTATGCACTCACTCAACTTTATGTTGATACTCTCTTTTCAAATTACTTGTATTCTCAGGGAATCAGTAGACAGGTACTCCCCGAGCTTTTGAGAAGCTGGAGCTATTTTGAGTCATGTCTTCTTCTTTGTATAACTATTTTGGTGTCGATATGCATTGATTGAACACATGTAAAAACTTATACTTATTAATGCAATGGTTGTTTGTACTTTGATTACTATAATGCATGTGTTGTGATACTACAAATGAAGTCATCCACCCCTAGACGTTTCCGCCGTCAGGTTTGGGGGTGTGACAGATTGGTATCAGAGAATTGTTTATAGTGAACTCAGTATATCAATCCATAAAAGATATACAAACTATAAATACATTGGGGCTAAGAGCTCGGACTACAAGTATACTTTTAAAATTGAAGTATTTGTACAAGAAGTATACTAACACTCATACCTACAAGTACAGTATCACAGTCATAACAACTTAAAAGTATTTGGATGTTGGACACTGCAGTCAAACCTGGACAGTTATGTAATCATATCTGGGATTAATATAGCCTGATCAACTATATTGGTTTGAGATATGACCAACATGTGTTTGGGAGTGAGGGTAGTGTTGCGACATGTCTAAAACTTACCAGCTATATATATCTATTATATATCATATACATATATATATATATATATATATATAATATACAGAAGAACTCTAGAACAGAACATAAAGTTAAAATACTATAGGAGTATTTTAGGCACTATATATTAATAACAAACATGTGAAAACAAAAGAACCATTGTGGGTAGAACTATAAATATTAAGGGTATATTACAGTTATATATAATTAAAGTTATATAGACTTAGAATATGTGATCTAGCTTCATTTCCTGTTCCTTGTTTGGTTGTGGATTTAGAGAAAGATCATTTAATAAAAGGTCGATTATACCCAAGTTATATATAATTAGTATGCACTTTGTAGTTATAGTAGTACCCAAAACAAGTCATACAAAATTCGTTATCTGTTAACTGCAAGTTTCTCTTGTAGAAACTTGTATTTGCAATCTATCGTTACTAATTATATTCTATATCTCTTATCCCTATTCTCACTTAGATATCAATGACTGGATTCCATCTACCCGGAGACCCGTACTTTCCCAATCAGGGAAATGGAGGATGGCTCGACGATGAGCCAGAAGAGAATCCAGAAATTCCCCTAGATGATGATTTTACAGAAAATTTTTCTGAAGATACTGATTCCGAATCAGAAGCCTATAATCCACCACCAGTTGCCCAAAATCCCAATCCACGACAAAACATCCAAGGCCCGACGCCTGTGTGGGCGATAAAATTAGAAAGGAGGAGTAATGAACAGGGTCAGAAGCATCCTTACCAAGGAGACTGAAGCTTCTACAATTTGGACACAGGAGGCTCAGCAGACAGAGCCATCCGAGTGTTAGTTCGTCGTGTGGCGTGTAACGATGAACAAGGAAGAGCTGCAATCGACCGAGTCATGCAGGTTGATGCTGCTATTGGAGTCAACACCGTTCACATTCGTAACTTAGAAGACAATCATAATGTGACAAAGGATCATACTAATTACTTGCTGAGAGAACTAGCGGTAGGGGTGTAAGTGAGCCGAGCTACTCGTGAGCTACTCGGAATCGACTCGTTAAAAACTCGACTCGAACTCGATTTAAACGAGCCCGAGCCGAGCCTGAGCTTTACTCGGGGCTCATTTATTAAACGAGCTCGAGCCCGAGCTTTTAAACCGAGCTCGACTAGGGCTCGCGAGCTTAAACGAGCCTATATAAATTATAATATAAATATATTTTCACTCCTTATATTATATATTTATATTATTAATAATTTGTTTCCTTAATTTCTGTAATCTTTCTATGAATTGAAATCAAACCAACCGCCTTTGCCGACCTTCCCCTTACTTCGCACACGCATACGGCATATACCCTACGAGGCTACGACGGTCGAACGTACCATTACCCGATTACCATCTAGGGCGACGATAATTAATCCATGATTTCCAATTGACGATCGACGTAACAATTGATTTCAGAATTCAGTGGACGTATCAATTGAGTATACGACGGTCGACAGTCGACGTTGCCCTCCCGAATCCATCTCGTTCTCAACAGACAACACTCAACAGGTATGATTATTAATTTCGATCCTGTGATTGAATGAATCGATTGATATCAGTGATTTGATTGAAATTTTTTAATTAATAGCATCCTGTATTCCTGTTTGTCAACATACGATGTATATGTAGATACATGTGCTATTGTAGTATATATTTACAGACATGTAAGCAGATAAACTATCTATGAAAGTTACTTGCCATCTCAGATAAAAATATTTCATTCTAAGTACGTGAACTTTGATCAAATTCTAAGGCCAAGTATGTATTATTCGATTAAGACAACTTAGGTCAATCAAGATATTAGCGCTTAATAAAGAAAGTATCACGATAAGAAAGTATAGTCTGTGACACTTACTATTCAGATGGGAATCAAGCTTTCATTATGCTCGTATATATTCTACACATGTATGAAACAAGAGTAAGCACTAAAGCACATATATGCATTAGATGTTGTACCTGTTTGTCAAATTGTGTAATTAAAATCGGCACTCCTCAAATCAAAAGTTCATATACTTAGTTTGCTTTTCTTTTCTTAACTGTAAAATGCTCATATTAATTCACCTGTTTGCAAATTGCAACGTGAACACCTGTTGGTTGTTTACAATTCACATTTTTTACTGTTGCATAAATATTATTTCAAATTGATGTATCTAAGATTTGTATTGTTTTCTTATGAAGATTCAATTTCAATGATGATGGAGGGTCTACAACAAACCTATTAAGTCCAATAAAAGGAATGGGGGCTGAAACAGGTGCTGGGATTGATAATCCGCCATCACAATTAGTACATGGTATGGATCACACAACTACTCCAAATGAAGATACGACAAGTCAAATTCCTAATGAAAATGAAAGTGTGACAGAGAAAAAAATAACGAAGCTGGTGAAGATGAAGTACAATTAACGAGAAAACGAAAAAAAACATCAAAAGTAGGGGATGACTTTGTTGTAGTTACACTCCGAGATGGTACGAAAAAAGCCGAATGCACTCACTGTAAGTCGAGGTTGGCTATTACTGGTTCAGCTCCTACATCGTCATATAGAAGACACCTAAACAGCTGCATCCCCCATAAACAATGGCAAAAAAACCAAAAAAAACTAAATTTTCAGCCTAGTGGGTGTGATGTGGATTCTGTGCCACCATTGATCGGACCGGATACAAAATATGATGAAAACAAGATGAGGGAGGCCATAGCTAATTGGATACTAAGTACTGAGCAACCGTTTGCTACTGTGGAAGATGTCATGTTTGTGAAAATGATGAAGACAGCTACTCCATTGTTTGAGAAAGTAAGCGGAGTTACAATTACATCAGACTGTTTTAAGGTATACGAGCATGAGATGAAAAGGTTGAAAGCCCTTACAAAAGCTGCCTCTAAAATCAGTTTAACAACTAATTGTTGGAAGTCCTCGCATCAGAAAATTGAGTATATGGTTATTACTGCACACTTTGTAGATCATAATTTGGAGGTTTAACAACTTGCTCAATTTTAATATTTAATTATTTATCTTTTTCTTTCTATCGTATTTTAATTTATATCTCAACGTTTTTCTACAGATTACAGAAACGTGTATTAAGTTTTGTACATGTTCCTCCTCCTCGTACTGCGGTTGATATTGCTGATGGTATTTACAAGTGTTTGCAAGAGTGGGAAATTAAAGATAAGATTTTCACCATCTCAGTTGACAACGCAGCTTATAATGAAAAAGCTTTAAGAAGATTGAAAGAAACTTTTTCGCGTGTAAGAAAACTTTCATGTGGTGGTAGATTGTTTCATATACGGTGTTGCGCACATATATTGAATCTTCTAGTGAAAGATGGTCTTGCAATAATTGATCATATCATCGGTGATGTTCGTGAGGGTCTTTAAGGTTTGTGTTTAATATGCATAATATTTTATAAATAAATGATTTTTTTGTTAACTAAATCCAACGATTATGTTTAGGTGTGAACGAATATCATCTCGGGCAGTGATTATCCTACTGCTAATTTATATCTAATTGAAGTGTTTAGAGTGAAGCAAACTCTTGATAAAGGTTCATTATCTGCAAATGATTTTATTCGTGATATGGTGAAGAAAATGAAGGAAAAGTTTGACAAGTATTGGGGTGAGTGCCACCTTGTAATGGCAATAGCTTCTGTGTTAGATCCACGGTTCAAGATGAAGTTGGTTGAATTTTGTTTTCCAACACTTTATCAAAATTCAGACAAGAACATTTAAAGAAGTGAAGAATGCACTTTTTGAAATGTATTCCGAGTATTTAGAGATGCATGATACATCAGTTAGGGAATTTGCAGCACATGGAAGCGAACATGAAAGAAATGTTTTAGGGTTGAATGAAGGTACATCACTTGGATCTGGATGGGAGGCGTTTGGAGAGTTCATAAAGACTGTAGATTTGGAGAGACCAGAAAAGTCAGAGCTTGATATGTATTTAGAAGAAGGTGTTTATAGGGAGAAAGGACAAACATAATGGAATCATTTAATGCTTTAGAGTGGTGGAATGTGCACAAGTTAAAGTATCGTGTTTTGTCATTGATGGCTAGAGATGTACTTGCAATCCCGATTTCTACTGTTGCATCTGAAGCAACTTTTAGTGCCGGGGGTAGAGTTATTGATCCATATCAAGCTTCATTGGGGTCCGACACGGTACAAATGTTGATTTGCGGAGGAGATTGGATTAGGCAAGTTCATGGAGTCAAGAAAAAATTAAAGGTATATATGAAAAAATCAAAACCACATTATAATTGTTAGTTTAATAGTTTAAATTATTAATTGTCAACCTTTTTATTTTGTAGAAGGAGGAGTTTCCTATTGAGGTTTTACTGCCTGAGGTGAACACAAAGTAATTGAAGGTAATTAGATGTGTTAAACACAACAAATTCTTAATCTGAAAAATATTTCAAAAAATGGTTCCTTTGTACATTTTGCAGGTTTTGTGTATCCGAGGAGTGAAGTTGCATAAAGGAAGATTTGTCTATTTCTACTCGTTCAGTAATTATGAGTTTAACTACTATTTTTGTCATTTGAGTTTTTACTCTTTATGTTTTTATATTTGGTTATATTTTAGACATTAAATCAATGCAAATGGAGAATCTATGAATGTATGTTTTGAAGTTAGAATTTGGATTATGATAAAAAAATTAAACGAGCCCAAAAACCATAAACGAGCTCGAGTCGAGCCTAAGCTCATTTAGGCTCGCGTGACAAACAAAACGAGCCAAGCCCGAGCCGAGCTCGAGCTTCTTATTTTTCCTACGAGCCGAGCACGAGCTTTGAAATTGGGCTCGAAACGAGCTGAGATCGAGCTCGACCCAACATACATTTATACGAGCTCGAGCCGAGCTTAGGTATGTTCGGGCTCGGCTCGGCTCATTTACACCCCTAACTAGTGGCATCCCAAGCCGAAGTTAGAGAACTGCGAGAACGACAAAGATCACAAGACAGGCGTATGTACGAAATAGAACGTCAACTTGCTAAATTCAAGGCTGAATCTAGTAGGAAGTAGTTCGATACTCTACTCGTTTACTACTTACTCTTTTGGTTATAGTCTAAGTCTTCAGATATGTTCTAGCATTATTTTTTTCATGTTTTTCAGTACGACCGCGAAAATTTCATTTTCGGTAGGTCGGTTTAGTGCCGATGTTTTCCCAATATTGTGGTATATTGTAGACCTGTTTAAGGTCAAGTTTTCCAAACTCTATGTACTCAATATACCAATATAATCGACATGCATTTTCATACTCTGAAAAATAACCACTCAATTTCGTATTATCCTGTTGCAAGTTGTACTTGCAGTAGACTTCTATTTCCAATTCCTTAGAAGATTCATATTGAACTAAGTGTTTTAGTTCAGAGATATCATATTCATGTTCATTCTTGATATCTGACTGTCTTTTCATCTTATAATTCTTAAGGTGAAAGATGCCTCCTCGTAGAAACCCAAGGCGTACTTATGTTAATGAAGCGCCAACACCACCTCCGCCACCACCTCCTCAATTTGACGCTGTCATGTTTCAGGCGGCGGTCACAGCAGCGGTCGCAGCTGCTATGTCTCATATAAACACCACTGGTGCTAGTGGATCAGGAGTTGGTGCGCATCCCTCCAACCACGACGAAAGTCACGGGCACTCACGAGAGTGTACCTATAAGGACTTTTCGAACGCTAAACCCATGACCTTTAACATAAATGGAGGAGTGATGACGTTAAGACAATGGATCGAGAAAAAAGAGGCAATCTTCGAGATCTGCTCCTGCCCGGAGGGTAGCAAAGTCAAATTTGCTGTCTGTACCTTTGCTGACAGAGCCCTAACATGGTGGAACGGCCATGTTAAGTCATTGACCTTGGTAGTGGCTAACTCTATAAGTTGGGAGAACTTGAAGACCATGCTGATGCGGGAGTACTGCCCCACGAGGGGAAATTCAGAAGCTTGAACAAGAGCTCTGGGGTCTTACTATGGTTGGTTCATACATAACAACCTACACAAATTGGTTCTGTGACTTAGCGATACTTTGTCCAGAAATGGTTGCTCTGGAGAGCAAAAAGATTGAGAGATACATCTGGGGGCTATCGTCCCAGATTCAGGCAAGTGTCATTGCTTCCAGGCCTGTTACCTTTGACAATGCCAAAGAGCTGGCACGGTCCCTTATCGACCATGGAGCCCGTCAAAACTTAGTGGTCGCTGCCCCGGAACAACCCAAGGGAAACAACAACAAAAATAACAACAACAACAGCAAGAAGAAAGCCTGGAATAAGAGAAAGGGCAAATCTTCTCAGAAATCCTCGAAAAAGCAACAGACTGTGGCGGTCCATGCTGCTACTGTACCTGCTGCTGTTCTTGCTAACCCTGCACCAGCTAAGCCCTATGCTGGTAATCTCCCCAAATGCAACAAGTGCAATTTTCACCACAACGGAAATTGCCGGGAAATGCAATGTCGTAACTACAACAGAAAAGGGCATACTGCCCGATTCTGTAAGTCACCACCCCAACCGATTAACCAAGTACCTGCCGCTAGAGTAGGTCAAGCATGCTATGGATGCGGTGATGTTGGGCATTTCAAGAGGGATTTTCCGAAAGCTGGAAATACCGATAGAGTTGGGAGGATTCTAGCATTGGGTCACGAAGAAGCGGTGGCAGACCCTGCGGTGGTTACAGGTACCTTTCTTCTCAACAATACTTATACATGCATTCTATTTGATTATGGTGCTGAGAAGAGCTTCGTGAGCAATAATTTCAAACACATGCTAAATCAAAACTCCCAACCACTAAATGAAACGTTCACATTAGAAATGGCTGATGGGAAATCCGAATACACCGACGATATACACATAGGATGTACCCTTACCTTGAATAACTTTTCCTTTCGAATAGACCTTATGCCGGTCTCTATCAAAAGTTTCGACGTCATTATTGGTATGGATTGGTTGTGCTCTAAGCATGCTGACATCTTATGTTATGAAAGAGCCATTCGCATGAACTTACCAACTAACAAAACTCTTATCATCAATGGCGACAAACCCGGAACGAACCTTCAGATCATTTCTTGCATCAAGGCACAGAAGTATCTTCGCAAGGAGTACTGTGATTTCTTAGCTCATATAGTTGACAAAAAGCAAGAAGTGAAAGACATCGCGAGCATTCCTGAAGTCTGCAATTTTCCCGACATTTTCCCGATGATCTTCCAGGAGTGCCTCCCGAACGACAAGTCGAATTCAGAATCGACTTAATCCCTGGGGGCTACCCCTGTAGCCAAATCCCCTATCGTCTTACACCTTCTGAAATGAAAGAATTATCCAGCCAGCTGAACGAACTCCTTAGCAAAGGTTTCATAAGACCTAGCTTCTCATCCTGGGGAGCACCGGTCTTGTTCGTGAAGAAGAAGGATGGATCATTCCGTATGTGCATAGACTACCCCGAGCTGAATAAACTTACCATCAAGAATCGATATCCTCTGCCTCGCATTGACGATCTGTTCGACCAACTTCAAGGTGCGAGCTACTTCTCAAAAATAGATTTAAGATCCGGGTATCACCAGTTACGGATTTTGGAGGAGGACATTCCCAAAACCGCGTTCAGAAATCTTCATGGTCATTACGAGTTTGTGGTGATGCCTTTCGGATTGACGAATTCACATGCTGTGTTCATGGACTTAATGAACAGAGTGTGTCATCCATTCCTGGACAAATTCGACATAGTCTTCATTGACGACATCCTTATCTACTCAAGAAGTGAAGAGGAGCATGACCAACATCTTCGTCAAGTATTGCAAACTCTCAGAACAGAGAAACTCTATGCGAAGTTCTCAAAATGTGAATATTGGATCAGAAAGGTAGAATTCCTAGGTCACGTGGTTAGTCAAGAGGGAATACACGTGGACCCTTAAAATTAAGGCAATTGAGAACTGGTCAGCACCTAAAACACCTATAGAAATCCGTCAATTCTTAGGTCTTGCTGGCTACTATCGCAGATTTATCCAAAATTTCTCCCGAATTGCTAAACCTCTTACCACCCTGACACAAAAGGGTGTAACTTTTAGCTGGGGAGAGAAACAAGAAACATTGTTCCAAATGCTGAAGCGAGCTCTGTGCAGCACACCGATCCTGTCTCTTCCTGAAGGGACAGAGCATTTCGTAGTGTACTGTGATGATTCTAATCAAGGGCTTGGATGTGTTCCTATGCAACGAGGAAAGGTTATATCCTACGCCTCGAGACAACTTAAAACACATGAGGTTAATTATACCACACATGATCTTGAGCTAGGAGCAATGGTATTTGCTCTGAAGATCTGGAGACATTATTTATATGGCACAAAATGCACAATATTTATGGACCATAAAAGTCTTCAGCACATCTTCGACCAGAAAGAGCTGAACATGAGGCAACGACGGTGGGTAGAGCTACTAAATGACTACGAATGTGAGATTCTTTATCACCCTGGTAATGCCAATGTAGTAGCTGATGCCCTTAGCAGAAAAGAATACTTGGGACGCCGAGGAAAGTCGTTCACCATGACAATCCATTCGCATCTGTCCATACAGATCAGAGAGGCTCAACTCGAGGCCTTGAAACCCAAAAACATGGCAGGTGAAACCCTGAGAGGAATGGATAAGAACTTCGAAGCCAGGGATGATAGAGTCTATTATTTCATGAACCGGATCTGGACACCAAAGTTTGGTGGTTACAGAGACGTGGTTATGAATGAATCACACAAAACCCGATACTTCATTCATCCAGGTTCAGACAAGATGTATCTAGACCTTAAGAAACTGTACTGGTGACCTAACATGAAGGCCGAAATCGCTACCTTTGTTGGCAAGTGCCTTACTTGTGCCAAAGTCAAAGTAGAGTACCAGAAACCTTCAGGTTTATTGCAACAACCTAAAATCACTGAATGGAAGTGGGAGCGGTTTACAATGGATTTCATAACTAAGTTACCCAAGAGATCGAGTGGTTATGATACTATTTGAGTAATCGTCGATAGATTAACCAAATCTGCACACTTCTTACCAATAAAATGTAATGCCCGTGTTTCTAGGCTAGGCATTAATATTGATGCGATAGTCTAGGTTAACCTTTTCAACTCATTTTGAAGAAATGAAGAGGAATTATGTGATTATTATGTGAATTATGTGTTTTATGCTTAATTATTAGGATTTAATTAATTAAGAGTAAAAATGAGCGTCGAAAATAAATATTAGATAAAGCCGATATTTATTAAGAAAGTTGTAGTGGTCGTGACAAGGATTACGGATATATAAAGAATGCCGAAATCCGAGTTATAACGAAGAAGTTATGACCTGTCGAAGTTTCGCGACAAAACCGGCACGGTGCCGAATGTCGTAAAAAGTGAGTTTTTGATAAACTACTTTTTAGCCTTAGTGATCTAAACGAAACTCGTAGTGTTCGTTAAACCGAGAGTAGGTATAAAAAGAACGCCCAAATCTGACTTCGTAT